GAGGTGGCAGTCGGGGTCTCTGAGGTCCAGCTGAGTAGCTCTGGTCATTGGAAGGTGCCAGCATGGGACACACAATAACTGGCCTTATATTTTATAAAGTTCCTGGGCTAGTGCGAGGGCTTGATGGGCTGGACACCTGGTTGGCTTGTAGGAGCCTGGTTTGATTCCCAGCACTGCATGATCCTCAAGTATAGGATAACATTGGTTTGTCCTTTCTGTCTTGCCACAGGGAGCTTAGGTTTATTGGTTTACTCCCATCACAGTGCTCCCATTCCTCTGTGTTTATTTGTAACCTCTTTCTTTGTGCTCTGTTGATTTGTAAATATTGTTTTTCTCTTTTCCATAAGTCCTTTGCATAGTTAACTCAGAGCAATGTCCTTTTTGTATGTACACAGTAAGAGATACACTGAGCTTGTAGGCTTGTAGATGCTCCTGGGAACATCTTTCCACAGACTCAAACTACACTGCTCAGGCCAGATTAACCTAGCAGGGTCCAAATCTAGTTATTACTTTTTGGATCATGACAGAATTTGTCCATGACTATGCTCTTAACTTGGGCTGGAGCAATAGCACAGCGGGTAGGGCGTTCGCCTTACAAGCGGCCAACATGGCCGACCCGAGTTCGATTCTTCCGCCCCTCTCGGAGAGCCCGGCAAGCTACCGAGAGTATTCGATATGCCAGACACAGTAACAACAAAGTCTCCAATGGAGACGTTACTGGGCCCGCTCGAGCAAATCGACGATCAACGGGAGGGCCTTTACCTTTACCTTTTTATGCTCTTAACTTGTAGTTAAGCATTATGGCACTTTGGCCAGGTCCATTTCAATGCCAGGGTAGCACATAGCTCACAGCTTTCCCTGGATCCATCCAGTCCCTTGTCAGGACCCTGCTTTTGGGGTGCTAGGAAGCAAGGGCAACTGAAGCTTAGGTCAAGAGAACAGATGCCCTGGAGGTAATCTTGTCTGGAGTCAATTAACTTCCAAGTTACAAAAGCATAGCATTAACTGTCTTCTTGTGTCCATACAAAAAGGATATTGTGCTAAATTAACTATGCAAAGGACTTAAGGAGAAGAGAAAAACAATATTTACAAGTCAACAGAGCACAAAGAAAGAGATTACAAATAAACACAGAGGAATGGGAGCACTGTGATGGGAGATGGGAGTAATCCAATAAACCTAAGCTCCTTGTGCCAAGGCAGAAAGAACAAACCAATGTTATCCTACACCCAAGCACCACCAGGAGTGATCCCTAAGCCTTGAATAAATCCTGTGCATCACTGGGTGTGACCCCAATAAAGACCTATTTCTTCAGTGACGAGACTGGGCTGCAGAGGAGAGGCTTCAGCTGGGAGGAGGATGGAGACAGAGAATCATCCGAGGACCAGGGGTAGAAGGAGCAATGCTGAGTGTTCAAAGGCAGAAAAGAAGGAGAGAAGACAGGACACATCCAACAGGGGAAGGGCTGTTGCATGTTTGCCAAAACCTTTTGGGAAATTGCAGCACAATTTGTGTGTGGCTTTCTGCGGCGTTCAAGGATCCCCATGGAGACAGACAGTCTTAGGAGCAGAACTGCAGCATCACTGAGCATTTTATTTCAGATTCTAGAACATTATTCTCTTGAACTGAAAAGAATCCTGATATGAGTCAGTGATAGAGTACATTTCCTGCTTGTATGAGGCCCTGGGTTTGATCCCCGGCACTGCAGAAGAAACAACAGAACAAAACAATCCTTTAAGGCACAAGGGAGCTTATGGGGGGAGAAAGAGGAAGAGGAAGAGGGAGAGAGAGGGAGATATTTTTTCACTGACCACCTATTATGATGGTGTTCCAGGGCCCTGTTCTTGGCTCCACCATTCCACAATCACCAGGAACCATTATACCCCCAAACTCAGACATGTACATCTACTGCAGTCCTCAGTTCCATCTCTACCCCAAAATTTCTAGATCTGCATCCCTCCTCCCCACCCGATGCCTGATGATCATCTCTATTAGGGACCAAAAAAAGAGAAAACTTACGTGAAAAAAAAAATAAAATAAATAGGGGTCAGAGATAGTATAGCAGGTAGGGCACTTACCTTGCGCACAACCAACCCAGGCTCAAGTCCCAGCATCCCATATGGTCTCCCAAGCCCGGCAGAGTGGCCACTAAGTGCAAAGCCAGGAGTAACCCCTGAGCACTTCTGGGTGTGGCCCTAAATCAAAAATAAAATATCTCACCCTGAACAACTTCTGGCATAGGCCCAGGGGTCCCCAGTGGCACCATAAGGCCTGAACAGCCCTGTACCCTGAGACCCTCACACTCAACCATCTCGCCCATTGGCTGAGAATTACCAGGAGTGGCCCCAAGTCCCCTGAACATTGCTTAAGAGGCCAACTTCATCTGTCTTCTTTGCCCTCCCACCAAAAAAACTCAATTCTACATTTGAAACAAATTTTCATCTTTTCTATGCCCCTTTGATCCTTTTTAATGTGCTTCCACTCTGAATGCTCAGCCTAGAACCCACGGGCTGGCCCCACCCACACAGACCACATCCTTCGTATCTGTCACCATCACAAAGCCTCATCTATTCTATTCAAAAGCAATGCCCAGAATCCCCATCTGCATTCTAATAAGCCTATAAGGTCTCTATCATCTATCCTCTTTCTCCAGTGTTTGAGGCTTTTTAAAACACCCATTGGGCCATATCACTTCCATGCGTTATTACTTCTGCTCATTTCCCCTTTACCCATGGCAAACCAGCTTCTCCTACAACAGAGCCCCAATAGGACCCCATCCACACATCTCTCCTCCCCTTGACTTCGCCTCTGCTCCAGGCATAGGCGACCTCTCAACTGCCTCAACCTTGGGCAACTCCTTCTGGCCCATAACAAAACCAGTTTCACCACCAAGGTAGCTCAAATCTTACCATTCCCCCCACTACTCCCCAAGATTTCCCAAACTCTTCCAAATAGAGTACCTGGCGTTAACTGTCTCTTACTCTCTTGTCCAATAACATATCTTTTGGAGCTTTTGTTCTTTGATTTTTCTCTGTTTTACTGTCCATCACATTATCTCATGAATGTCTGTCAAGCTCTTCCACTAGATGATGACGTTTGAAAAGCAGAGATTCTGATACCCAGAATGGTACCAGAATCCAACTCACAAATAATCTGGCCCATGACATGTGCTCACCATGCATCCAGAAAGGAAAAAAGAAAAAAGAAAAAAAAGTGACAGCATATCCAATAAAGCCAATGAAAATAAACTCCAAATACAGAAAGTCAGATGTGAACATTAATATTGAAGAATCCTTCATCCCTGCCATCTCCCTTCTTGTCCAGTCAGTTATTTTCTTCCTTCCTCAATTCTGTTTAGTTCTTTCCAACTTTATATGAATTCTTTGTTAATGGCACCTGTCCCCCAGAATCTTTGTTTTGTGTTTGTGTGTGTGTGTTTGTGTGTGTGTGTGTTTGTGTGTGTGTGTGTGTGTGTGTGTGTGTGTTGGGGTGGGGGAACCTTTGGGCACATCCAGTGCTCAGGGAATATTTCTGGTTCCATGCTCAGGAATGACCCCTGCATTGTAAAGCCAATGCCTTACCTCCTGTACTATCTCTCCAGCCCCTTTCCCTCTGGATCTAACTCTATTAATACTCTTCTTGTGATGCTAAGATGCATCCTGGTATGCGGCACACTGTGAACTAGGAATTTGGTGTCATATTTTTTCCACAAATATTTCATGAGCACCAGCTATTTGCCAGGACTTGTTCTGACTGGGATACATTCATGCACAAAGATAAAGCCCCTCCGTGATACCTACATTCTGTGAGCAGGTGAGAGAGTCGGAAGGAGAAGGGAGGAATTAATAAGAACTAAATAAACAAGTTTTTGGATGGTGAACACAAGAGCCCAGTTGTAGGTGGTTATTGCTCCCAAGGTGTATAGTTCACCCTTTTTGTTTTGGGACCTCCCCAGTGGTGCTGGGGGCAAGGTGAGGGCACCAGGGTTATGCCTGGAGGTACCAGGGAGGCTATTCAGTCCTTGGGATCAAATCCAGGACCTTGCCCATGCCAGGAATGGCATGCACTCCGACCCTTAAAGTAACCCGACTAGCCCACAGAGCTTATGTTTTTGTTTGCTGCTTTTTGGGTCACACCTGGAAATGCACAGGGGTTACTCCTGGCTCAGCACTCAGGAATTACTCCTAGCGGTACTCAGGGGACCATATGGGATACTGGGAATCGAACCTGGGTCAGCTGCGTGCAAGGCAAACGCCCTACCCACTATGCTATCACTCCAGCCCCAGAGCTTATATTTCTAAGAGAAGATCTGAGCAAAGATGATGGAGTGGACTGTTGCAGAGAGATTCATGAGTCGGGCTTGCAGTCAACAGCAGAGCTACCAACCTGATTTGTTTGAGAAACAGCAAGGTCTGTCTGGCCAAAATATAGTTTGAAAGGGGAGAGAATGGGGAGAGGAAATTCAAGGGGCAAATGAGGCCAGATGAACCTCATCCACTGTTCTAGTCTGAACTCTGGCTCTTGTTCTTGATGAAATGAGGACTAAATCTAGACTTGGAGTGATAGAGTGACACACTTTTGCTTGAAGTCACTTGACAGCTTTGTTGGAAATGGATTATAGAAGAGAAGGAGAGAAGCGAAGGAACAGGTCAGCAGGGTGTGGCAGTGATTCTGCCTAAAATGATGGGGATGTCTAGAAGGAGGTTGACAGAGAAGGGGAGAGTGGGTGGTGCTGGATAGAGCTTTTGGTAAAATTAACTGGATTTTCTGACAAATTAGGTTAAAAAAAAAAGTGAAAGAAAGATGAGCCCCAGAAGACTCAAAGTGTGTAGACCCTGAGATCTCAAGAAGGATGTTTCCATCAGCTGGTAGGGGGTTGCTGCAGAAAGAATGGATTTGGTGGTGGAGGCATTAAGAAGATTGGGAGTTCAATACTGGATGGTTGAGACAGAGATGCCTATCAGCTCTCTAAGGATAGAATACAGAGTTAGACATAAGAATATTTCATTTGGGAGCAACTATACTCAAATTGGAATAAGACAAAGAAGATTGACATGGTCCCTCTACAAGGCTGGCTCACAGATTCGTGAAGCATGCCATATTTTTCTGGTTGAAACGCAGAGCGAGAGAGAGAGAGAGAGAGAGAGAGAGAGAGAGAGTGTGTATTGCACTTGGGGAGATTTAAATTTGAAGCGACTAGTGTTCTTATTAAAGTCTCAAGACTAACAACTTAGTCCTCAAGTAAATTCTTCCCAAGATGGGAACTTAGTCTTCCTTCCCCCTTATACTTTCCAATAAACCTTTCTATTTCATAACAGTACAAAAGTTGAAACTAGAAAGAACCCATGTATTTCAACCCAAATATAACTCTCTTCTTAACTGTAGCCAAATTATCTCATCTCTCTGCTTCTCATTTCCCTCCTTTCTATAATAAGGTTAGGCAAGATCAGTGATTTCTGTGTTCCATAAAGCACTGGGATTCTATAGACAGAGCTTCCAGGAGTAGAAGAATCTTTTCTTTCCTGTTGCCTGAACCTTTCAGATTTTTGGGTCACATTCACCAATGTTCAGGGGCTGGACTGTACTGGTGACTAAACCCAAGGTTCCCACATCCAAAGCATTTGCCCGGGAGCTCTCTCCCTAGTTCCCAACCCCCTATTCTTACAGTCAATATTTAAAGATGGTACAAACTGATATTATAATCTGCATACTATAGTAAAATATATTTTACTATATATATTAAATATAATATATTAAATATTATATATACTATATATATATTAAATAAAATATATTTTACTATATATAGAGTGTTGGGGGGAGTAATTTTCCATGTGAAATAATAAATGTCTCATTACAAAATATCCAGATCTGCTTCAAAACTGGTCAGCCTTGAATGGGCCAGGTGTTAAAGCAAGGTGCAGATCAGCACGACTGTGCTGTTATCATTAAAATACTCATCCTGGTTAATATAGATTATATTCTCTTCTCTAAAAGATTGTTACTGGCGCTGGAGTGATAGCACAGTGGTAGGGCATTTGCCTTGCACACGGCCGACCTGGGTTCGATTCTCAGCATCCCATTTGGTCCCCTGAGCACTGCCAGGAGTAATTCCTGAGTGCATGAGCCAGGAGTAACCCCTGTGCTTTGCTGGATGTGACCCAAAAAGAAATAATAATAATAATAATAAAATAAAATACTCGTCCTGGTTAATATAGATTATATTCTCTTCTTGAAAAGATTGTTGCTGAAAACCAAAAGCTGAATTGACCAAGTTGATATTCCATTTCCTACAAACCTGACTAATGACTGCAGTTGCCTTTCAGAAGCTTCTTGGGCCTGAGCACGTGAACAGTTGATGGTTTCCCCTCCCTTCCCTTTGTTGTCCTGTTGACCATCACTCACACACTGCCAGGACTTGCACACTTGGCTGTGTTGCTCCCAAGGGGTTGTACCCTTAGTTGCAGTGTTCACACACACTTGTTTGTGGTGTCCCGAGATTGCACTGGGAGCCCAAATGGCATTCCATTCACAACGTGGGTGAGATCTGGGGATTAAACTCAGGGCCTCTGGGGCCGGAACAATAGTACAGCGGGTAGGGCATTTGCCTTGCTCATGGCAGACCTGGGTTCAATTCCTGGCATCCCATTTGGTCCCCCAAGCACCTCCAGAAGTGATTCCTAAGTGCAGAGTCAGGAGTAACCCCTGAGTATCGCTGGGTGTGACCCCCCCAAAATTTTTTTAAATAAAAATAAACTTAGGGTCTTAGGCCTGCAAGGCAGCATGCTGCCATAGAACTATCCCTGGTGCTATTGATCCTTTTTACTGTAGAAATTGGGGGAAGACAATGCTGGAAGAGACCTTATAAGAACTTCAGTTGTCCTCCCTTTGTTTTTCATATGTGCTGAAAAAGTAACTCATTCAAATAACAAAACCAGGACCCAGGGAGTTAATATAAAGGGCTGGAGAGACTGCAGGACCGTAGATTCAATCCTTGGTGCCTCCTGATCCCCTAAGCCCCACAAGGGAGCCCCATCCTCAGCAGTAAAAATAAATAAATACATAAATAAATAAGATTACATTTAAAAAGGTGGGATGGGGCTGAAGCAATAGCACAGTGGGTAGGGCATTTGCCTTGCATGTGGCCCACCCATGTTCGATTCCCAGCATCCCATAGGATCCCCCAAGAACTGCCAGGAGTAGTTCCTGAGTGCATGAGTCAGGAGTAACCCCTGTGCATCAGCTGGATATGACCCCAAAAGCATAAATAAATATATAAATAAATAAATAAATAAAAAGGTGGTGTCTGTTGTGGCAATAAATTCCCTCCTTCCCTCTAGTGAAAGACTGAAGCTAAGGGTGAAAGGTCACGCTGGAGCTGGAAACCAGGTCAGCTCCTAAGCCCTGGGCCAGCCCTCTCTACACCACTTGGTGCTGGTTTCATAGCTGCATCAGAAATGCCTCTGACACGTACAGTTAAGGCAGCATGGCACAGAGAGGCATGTTCTTCCTTGTCCTGCCCACTCTGACATTGCTTTTCCTCTTTCTCCCCATGTAGTTCTGAGGGTCGTCCTTGCTGTCGCCTTTTGCCTGGTGTCTGGTATCCTGATGGTGCTTCTGTTCACCCTCATCCGCTACGGACCCTGCTGGCAGAGAGACCCCTATAGGAACATCTGACCGGCCGAAGAAGGGAGGACCAGCCAGGGAGTGCTCCTGCAGGGCAGCGTCTCACTCAGAGGACAAGCTTTTGCACACAGGCATCGCCCTGCACCCCCCAAACACCCTTCCTTCCGAGCCTGCCTATAGACGAGCCTGAAGGCCCAGGGACCCAGAGACAGCTGCGGGACTGGCCAATGCATGCATAGCCCAGTTACTTCAACTGGGTCTCCACCTTGAACTCCTCCAGGCTTGGCTGTGACTCGAACTGCCAAGGAGAGCTCTATACTATCGCAGTCAAGTCCAGAGAGAAAGAAGCAGCTAGAACACTCCAGCCTGCCCAGCACCAAAGGTTAAGACACAGAGAGGAGAGAAGACAGGAGACGGGGTGGAATTCAAAGGAGTCACACAGAAAATACTGTGGAAGAAGACCATGGGGGGTGGAAACGTGGCACTGTAGTACTTATCTCCCATGGATGAGGTACTGGGTTTGATTCTTGGGGTAGACACCACACACACACACACACACACACACACACACACGCACGCACGCACGCACGCACAAGCACACAATGTCTCAACCAAAAGTTAAATAAAGCAATATTTCCTTTAGTTATCAAGTTGGGTTTACTGCAAAGACACATTAATGCATGAAAAGTAACGCCAAGCATATTCAAGTTTGATGGCCAATATATGACTGTGTGCTCCAGCAGCTACACATAAATAATGCAGACCGCGGAAATGCCTCAGGATTGAAGCCTCGGGGATTGTGACAGCAGCCGAGGTAGCTGTCATTCTGTACGTTCCTCAGTTCAATTTCTGTCATGGAGAAGAATTAAAAAATCCTCCTACCCAGGGTTGTTTTTCCAAACTTCCACTCACCGAGCTGAATATTTTGACAATTCTGATTTCTTTATATCTTTATTAAAAGCCAAAGGTATTACTTTGATATGGTTTATTTGTGACCAAGATGAACTCAGAGTACATTTAATTTCAGGATAGATCTGACTTTTTCACGTGATGGGATAGAGAGTCTCTTCCTCACTTGATATTCTCTCTCGAAGAATAGCTCTGGTTATCTGCTCCAGTTCTTTGCTCTGCTTTAATCGTTTCTGGTTTTCGGATTCTCTCTTGGCTTTCTCCAATGCCAGCTCCTCGGTGCCTCTTCTTTTCAGCTCCTCATCAGAAACAGGGGTTTTGCCTTCGAGCGCTCAGAGACTATAAAATCCAGCTCCCGGACGAGAACAGTGCAGTCTCCTGCCCCCGCTCCTGGCTGTTCCTCGCCAGGGCCCCTTGGAGGGGAGCAGGTTGAGCTTTCCTCCCCGCCCTGACCAGGGCTCCGGCAGCCGAAGACCTCCAGGACCAGCCACCACCATGCTGAGACCACTCTCTGCACACATGAAGGTACTGGCAGAGGGACAAATCCACACGGGTTCCGGGGCCGAGATCTCCAAGCCTACTCGGATTGGAGTCGAGCATCCTCCACCCAGATCCTCCAAATTCCAGTAGGCGGGGGTCACACCCACCACCTGGCCCCCTGGCGCCGTGTAATCCCATCAACGGCCAAGACTCAGAGACTATAAAATCCAGCTCCCGGAACATCTTATCAGGACATCTTTTTATGACATCTTATTATCTCATTCCTACTTTGGACAAACTTGCAGGCTATCGAATGTAGCCTGCCCACAGGGCAGAGTCTGGCAAACTCCCCATGGCGTACCAAATATGCCAAATACCAGTAACAATGATGGGTCTCATTCTCCTATAGAGCCTTGAATATAATCTCAGGGCTCGAATGAAAGAGACGTTACTGGGGTCTGCTCGAGGCAATCGACGAATAATAACAGGGATAGAGAGAGAAGAGGGCTCAAAGCCGCAGCCTCAGGCCTGTCCTGCCAATACCTTGGCACTGTTCTCTTCAACCTTCCACAGGACTGCGATGTTAATCTTGATTTCATGACTCTCACATTGGAGGGTCTGAACTAGAGGAATAGAAAAGTCACATCTAGTGCTCATGTTCTGTTAAACACTTTTTTATAATGCTTGTCAAGCAAACACCCTCACGAATGGTACCATTGTTAGCAAGGCTGAAGTATATTTGCCATTTCATTCTTCATGGAGCTGGCAGGCAGCTGACTTATTGGAAGGAGTCTCTACCTGCTTACTCAGCCGCTACTGCAAGTTCTGAGGTAATTCTGGTGGGAAGAACCAGGAAGGGTCCTTTACTGATGCTGTTCTTATGGGTCTGAAGTCAGCTCATGGTCGTTTGCATGCCTTCTAAACTGGAAAGGCGGGGCACATTGGCTACCATGGCTACACATTTGGAACTCTCCAGGCTTTCTAGAGTCTACTATCAGGGTGCGAGTCATTCTGGGATCATTGCCCATTGAGAAAGCAGCCATCTTTGCATGTCTGCAAGCTCCCGGTATTACACACACACACACACACACACACACACACACACACACACACACCTACACACACACAATCTTCAGTTTCAGGAATCTTCCTCTACCCATGAATCCCACAGACTTTCCCTGTTAAGCTCCAAGCACTTTCTTTCTTTTGGGGGTGGGGGAGGGGCAGGGTTACCGGTGCTGTGGAATTTGGTTCCAACAGGCAGTATAGGCAGGTAGGGTTGGGGCATAGTGCTGGAAATCACACCCTGGCCAGCACCATGCAGGTCAAGCTCCTTAATCCCTGTACAATCTCTCCATCCATAAGCACTTTTGCCCCATTCACTTAGTCCTTGATACTCAGTGAGTCCTATCCAGGCAACTTGTTCTTCCTGCTGCAAATAAAAGGCAACACGTAGGCAAAGAAGTGTAAAACCTGTTCCCATTCTCATCTTGGGAAAGAGGAAAAAATATCGAGAACAGTAAGAATTATGGACAAATGACCTTCTCCATCAAAGAGCTAATCACATCAGTATTGCAGCTGCAGTTAAGTGGGGAGGCTTTAAAATAGAAATATAAGCAGAATCAAAGTCAAGTGTCCAACTTTGAAGAAGTTGCATTCAATGAATGTGACTAGGAGGCCTAAATTTGCTCATCACTGGCCCGGATGCAGTTACCCATCTCTAATATGGTAATTAAGTTGCTTGGCTTCAAGTACAGCCTTACATAGGGTTGGTAGAAAGTAAAAGTGAAAGTGTGCACAACCTTTTTTTGCCATCTTTTTATTCTCCAAAGTGGCTAAAAGAGCTTCTGTGTTCTACTGGTTCTGAGGGTTTTTTTTTTTCCTTTTTACCCTTCAGTCTCTTGATTATTGTAAAGAAAACTCCAGTTTCCAATTTGGTTGTTTCTTTTACCTTCCACCAAGATGCTCTGTTGATAAGTACTGTCACTGCTTTTCAAACTTCATAACAGAATGAAAAATGACATGTGAAAAATAATCTAGAAATTGCCCATGTGAAAACGCCCAGGGCCCAAATGCCTGGTAACCTTTCCTAGGGGAAAAAAAGAAAAAAATCTCATCACCCAAGATTTCTTCTGATTTCCATCTTCTGATAAAATTTATTCTCCCCCAAAATCAGAGATAAAACCAGTTGGTATGATGGGAAATGTGTTTAGGCGATGTTTAGGGGCCTGTTGAAGCAATAGCCACTATGAAATATACTTCCCACATCTGAACCACTCTCAGGGCCTTTGACAGGGTTAAAGTAATGCCACCACAATGTCAGTGTAAGCACCTTCTCTTATGTAGGAAAAGCTCGACAGATATATGTAGAAAAGTTCTAAGGAAGAGTTGTAAGTAGAGTCATTCTAACTCCATAGCGTTGCAGACAAAAAATATTAAGAAAACAGCATCAGGAAAGAATGATAGTACAGTGGGTAGGACACTTTTCTTGCATGTGACCCAGAATTCTATCCCTAGCATCTTAGATAGTTCTCTTGTAAGATGAAGCCTCAGTTTCCCCTTTCCAGTGAGAGAGGAAGGCACAGTTTTCTCTCTCCAGATGTTCCATCTCTCCCTCATCAACCTGACACACACTCCATCCCCAAGGCTCTGTCTCAGCATTCCTGGGGCTTCCCAGGAACATAAAACTCTGCCCTGGACTTTAGGCGTACAAGGAAACTGAGATAATGGGCAGTCCTGGAGTTTAGGCTGACTGAGAGCATGGAATTAGGCCTGGAAGTTTGTTTCCCCTGGCCAGTGAAGAAGGAAGTCACAGTTTCCCCTTGCCACCTTTCCCCCATCAACCTGACACAGTTCATTTCCAAAGTCCTGCCCGCCCCCCCCCCCCCCCCACCGTGGTCAGAGATTTCCAGGACCATAAATCTCTGTCCTGGAGCCTAGGCCAACAGGGAGACTAAGGTAAGGGGCAAACATGCCCAGAGAGATTTAGACCAGCGAGACATCCTTGTGATTTTCTGACATCTATTGTAAAACCTTGTCAACTGATGAGGAATGCAAAGAGCCTTTAAAAGGGCACCCACAAAACTCCCTTTTAACTTAGTCCTGTACTAAGTTCCTCTCCACTTGAGATTCTTTTTCAATAAACTTTTCTACTTTCTAACGCTGAGTCTGAGCATCTTTATTATTGAATATTTTTTAAATTATTGAAAATATTGAAGAACCTGAGAATCACGAATGAACACAGAGACCTACCGCCGCTGCTTCTGCCTCATCTGCATCACTCTGAGCCCTGCCAGGAGTGATCCCTGAGCACAGAGCCAGGGCCAAACCCTGAGTCTTGCTGGGCGTGCCCCACCCTCAAAAAGAGAGAATAGGATCATAAAAAGAGTGATGTCTGATGTTGTTTAACAAGAAGACATCCAAACTTTTTTGAAATTAGGACTAGCATTCCTTACCCCTGAATTCAATCACATTTTCTTTTCTCTCAACTTCCAGTCTTTCTGTCTTCTATCTTGTTTTAATTTTTTCACAGATCTTTCTCCACGATCGGTGGAGTTTCTCAGTAAGTGAAGGCCAGAGTGTTCAATTTTTCTTTCAAAACTCTCTTTACAGAGGCTGGAGCTATAATACAGCAGGTAGGGTGTTTGCATTGCATAGGGTCAAGTCTGTTTTGATCCCTGACACTTCATATGGTTCCCTAAACCTTGGCTGGAATGATCCATGAGCACAGAGCTAGGAATAAACCCTGAGCACTGCCAGGTGTGACCCCAAAACAAAACAAAACAACCCAGCTTCTTTTACAGAAATCCCATCTGAGGAACAATGGATGCAGGCTACAGTTTGGCAGAGTTATGGAATAGAAATATACTGCAAAGCCACAAAAGTTATATGGAAAAATTGTAACTTCTAATAGCCTCTAAAGTATCACTTGGACGTGTGATTAGTATTTTTAAAACTGCTCATGAGATGATTTGCAGTTTTTCAAAGGTAGTATTTGAAATCTGATATGTTCTACCTAGACCACATCTTAATTTGGACTTGGCATGTGTCAGGCCTCAATAATCACCAGTGGTTACTATATAAAACAGTTCCACTTCAGGTTCTTTATGAAGTAAAGATGATATCGTCTTTGTTACAACTCATCAAATCTGCTGTCAGGTTATTGTGAAGAAATAAAAGTTGTCATTAAGCTTCTACATTGTGTTATTTTTGTTGGTGTGCTGAATTGATAAAAAAAAGATTTTTATGAAAAGTTTTCTTTAGCAGCCTGTCTTAATAGTAACTGCCTAGATTTTTGCAAAAACAACCCTAAGTGAGAAGCTGGAGGTACAGGTATTGGAGCAAGTCTTCCATGCATGAGACCCTGAGTTTGATCCCTGACACCAAAAAAAGAAAAGTGGGGATGAGGCGAGGGAAGAGGGGGGAGTTTCTCCTTCAAGCCTGTGTTCTCCTTGAACACATATGGCTCTTGCTCACATGTCTCTGTCTCTTTGCTTGTAGCTTTTCCCACTCTGTAGAAGCTTATGTTCTCTTTTTACATGCATTCCCTCTCTCTCCCCTCATGTCCTTTTGTCA